CCTATATATATATATATATATATATATATATATATATATAAAAGCATTGTCAAAAAATTGTTACAAACATTATATATATATATATATATAAGCATTGTTAAAAAATTGTTACAAACATTATATATATATGGTTGAGTTCACGTGAGACCAGTTTGTGTTCATGAGATCCATGAAACCATATTCTTATACTTGAAAGTTCACAGCAAAACGCTGTGAAGGTAAAAAAAAATCGAACATTCACAGCATTTTGCTATAAAGTTTCAAATGTAAAAAGTGGTCTCACGGGTCTCACGAAAACAGGTTGGTCTCACGTGATCCCAAATGTGTGTGTGTGTATATATATATAGTTTAATTCAAATGTTAACCCAAATTATTGTGTTAACCTTTTAAACCAATTACAATCCATCTTAGTATTAGATTCTTCATTATCTAAGAATTTAATGTTAAGGGTATATAAGTAATTTTTTTTTGTAACTTCTATATCATTAATTGGGAGTTACAAGATCCATAAAATCCCATGATTTTTGCATTTTTAATATTGATCTTGTGATATTTTCATTTTTTAATATTTATAAATTTGTGATTGGTGGAAGAGATCCGCTAGTAAAGTGTTTGTTATCGTTCAAGCAATTATGGATAAAGACATTGGAAAACAACACAATAATATTGAGAATGTTAAAATTGTTTATGATGACAGTCGAAGTTCGAGATCGGAAAGTGAAGTAAATAATCAAAGCGAGTGTCTTGGTAATTATGAACACAAATTATCATATGTGAACACAAATTGAACATATATGTGAACACAAATTGAACATATATGTGAACACTTGTGGCAATTATGAACACAATTGAACATATATGATTTATAACTGATTTCTATTGTTTGTAACCGATGTCATTGAATGCATATTATCTTTTACATAAATACCCTTCATCAATTATGTTCACATATGTTTGTGAGATTACACATTTAATAAATTAAATTTATAAGCTGATTAATCTCAACATTTTATTTTAAAAAAGCAATGGTCATGATTAGTTCATAAAGTTAACACAATAATTAAGGTTAACAAATGAACCTGCCCATATATATATACACACACACTATTATAAAGCATTTGGATTAAACTCTTAAAAACAAATTATAATACATAAAGTACTATTGAATAAAAAATGTTACCTAAAATTCAATATTACAAATCATTAATGCTTTAATACAAATTCTAATGTACAAACACCCGAAGGTTAATTTCCACTCTTATCCTAACTAACTACTCCAAAATCTCTCTAATATACTGAATGAAATCCATTCCCCTTAAAACACTTAAAAATTATTTTTTATGCATCAAGTATTGTTTATTGATGCATATTACTTAAAATTCAATATTACAAGTAAATTATGTGTATGTACAACTTATTAAAGCTTCATGTTTGAATTCATGTAACTAACTACAGATGAACATGATCAAATACTAGATATTTATCTCATTCTAAATATAAAAATCTAAAATATATTTAGGATAATCATTGAACTCTAACAAAATACTAATTATTATCCTTGTAAAAAATTTATTATTAAACTAAACATAAATGACTTTATTATTAAATCTGAATTAAATTATAATAAAAAATTGAATTAAAGAAATTACGCAAAAAATAAGAATTCTTAAATATTTAATTTGATAGTAAAATTGATATTTTTTTTTTCCAAATTTATATTTTATTCAAAAAATAAAAATATTATCATTTTCTCATTACCACATAAAATCGTATTATAATACCGACGGAAACAGAATAAAACGGAACATTAAAATCAAGATATATATCTCGCTGTATTGCACGACTACCCTTCTAGTATATATATATATATATATATATATATATAGAGGGTATATTTCTTTTACAATCTTGTGTATTTGTACAACCTTTGCAACCCAATTAATTGAGATATTTATAGAAATGATTGGAGTTCATTTATTATGATTTGAATATTTATGGAATATGAATAGAGTTTATTAATTATGATTAATACTTTATATTAGGAAACAATTAATTGATTAAAAATTGAATGGTTGAGATGAGGGTTGTATAGGGTGTAGGAATGGCAAAGGGTGTAGAATAACATCCCTCTATATATATATATATATATATATATGTGTGTGTGTGTGTGTGTGTGTATGGGTCCATTCAAGAGAGAACTAATTAGTTTGTGATAACTGTGAGATCCAATTTCAATACAAATCAATGAATAAATTAGGAAACTAGAATTTTTGGTAATTTGACTTAAAATTATAATTAAAGGATATTCTAGGTATTTATCAGTTAAATTATTATCTACTAGCTAGTTTATAAGTTAACAATTAGCAGTTAATTTATACCAAAACATAGTCAAAATGTTGGAAAATAAATAAATGATTGTGTAACTTTTATATTTTTTTCAATTTTATTGTCACAATAATATAATTACATATTTTTTTATTC